CTTATTTTATTTTATTTTATAATTTAGCACGAATTTAAGAAATTACAAATATGGGAGAATAAAATAAAAAATTAGGGAGATGTCTAGATAAGGTAATGATTAGAATTTGACGGCAATTGTGAAGTTCAATGGACCACAAAATTAGCCCTTCGGTCCTACTTCCAGAAGGTATCGGTATATCTTCAAATTAGCTTTATTTTATTGTATTTTTTTTTTCTTCTTAGCCTACATTTTATTCCATTTACATATCATGCAAAATTGTATATAAGAATTTATTTTTTGGTAAATTCAGGGGAGGGCAAGATTCGACCCCATGTCATGGTATGAAATAAAGTGCTCTACAGTTTGATGCTAGAAACTCCACGTATATTTATGGTATTTGGGTTATTGTTACAAATCCATCACCAAAATACCATAAATACACGTGGATTTTCAATAAATCCATTTTTTTAATTAGGTCCAAATATTTCATCCTGTAATTTAGAATTTTGCGTGTATTAATTTTTTTTAATTTTTTTTTTAATTTAAACCTAAACCAATAAAAATGAGAAACCATGCTCAAGCTTAACAATATTTTTGCACTTTTACTAATAACATTATTTTTTTTTAATTTAAACCTAAACCAATAAAAATGAGAAACCATGCTCAAGCTTAACAATATTTTTGCACTTTTACTAATAAGTATTTGGTCTAGTAGCATTTAATGCCCACCTTGTTGGAGAAACTAACTAGTTCAAATCTCATGATCGAAAATTATTAAAAATAAAAGCACACAAAAAAAAGTGCAAGAGTGCAATTGAGAGGACAAATAGCATTCATAATTAGGACTTTTCTTTGGTTGAGAAAATAGCGATAAAATATTATTGCAAGAGGTATTGGATACAAATTATGAGGATAATGGTCAAAAGGATTAGGTGAGCATTTTCTAAGGGCATGGTCGTTCAACTAACCAAGTAGCCTACTCTTTTTTCATAGAGAATTAGGTGAAAATTAAGAATTACAATTCTCAAAGAATACATAGATATAACTTACGAGCACTTATGTAAGCATTCCCAAAACTTAAGTAAGAACGAATTAACTAATTGTCGAGGCCTCTTCCATTTTAAATTTTGAATTTAAGGTCACTAAAAGGCTAACATAATATTTTTTTTGTTTCTTAAAGTAAAGCTTTCCTCCGTCAGTTTTAATAACTTGTATGTTCTTTTGCCACAACACAAGTCATCATAACATGCCATTACCCACCACTGGAGCCCAAAAACTGTATATGGTAATTAAACTTTGGCAAAAGAGGTGAGAATTTGCCATACAAAAAGCAACAAAAAAAAAAAAGAATTTTTTTTGTACGGAGAATTGTGTCCAAGGCCAGGCCAAAATGGCTCCCATATAATTATTTTCCCCTTTGTTTTGGCTTTTTGAGAGGAAAAGCAAGAAAGAAAAGTCGATGAAAATATAAAATAGGGGGACGTAATCTGAGTGGAATTATGACAACCTATAAACAGAGACAAAAAGAAATGATGTCTGTTTGCCACCCCACTCTACTCTCTCTCTCTCTCTCTCTCTTCATCTCCCAACTTACAACCCTAGATATAGATTTTATTCCCCTTCTACGTATCCCTCTGACATCATACCCACGCCACCCCTACGCCAGCAATCAACCAATTTAAATCCTATTTAAATCCAATTATTCTCTTAAACGTCTCACTCGCACACTATACATTTCTTTCTCTTTCCCCCTTTTTTTCTTTTTTCTCAAAAAAAGAAAATACATACTGTTCTTTCTAGGAAGTTTCCCTTGAGACACAAAGACCTTTTGTTTGAATTTGTATCCTTCTTTCTAGTTTTGAACAATTTTCTTTTTCTTAGCTTTTCGGCACTTGAACTACCCTCCTTTTCCAATATTAATTTTTAAAATATTTTTGGATATTTAAAATAAATTTTCAAGAATTTTTTGAAATTACATTTATTTTTAAAGTCAATTTTGGAATTAAATACTATTTTTATAAATTAAATCTGTTTTAAAATATTAATTTTAAACTCCATAAAGTAATTAAATATACAAAATTATTAGATTATTAATTGTTTCTTTTAATAAGTACTAAGTAATCACTAACTAAATTATATTACAATAATTAAACAAGACTAAAACATTACTTAAGTAATCAAATCCTCCTAAAATTGTTGCGTGTATGCATTTTCTATTTATGAGAGTTAAAATGTTGTAGTTGAAGTTGTAGTTTGGTGCATTGAGGTATATGTTCATATTTTCCAGGCTTGCTGTTTTTTTGCCGTAACTTGTTAGGCGTGGCTATGAGTGGAAGTACACCTTGTGTACTTGGACTCCTCTGCATTATTTGGATTAACCCCTTGTAGTTATTGTGCTTCCATATTGGTATAAATCTTATGTGGTTAGTTTGTATTTGTATTGGTCCTTATAGCTGACTGCCTTGATGCCTAACTTATGAATGCAATCTATTGCATTTCTCTCCAAAAATAGGAAGAGCAAGAAACTCCAAGAGAAAACCAATCAAAAATGGAAATGAAAAAAAAAAAGAGGAAGAAGAAGAAGGGAAGGTTGAGATTAATATAAGAATGGAAGCTTGAGATTAATTTTTTGGGGCGGTGAAATCTAGTATGTTAGATCGTAATAATAAAAAAAAGATCAATAGTCAAGATTGCGTCGATTATTGAAGAGAGACGATAGCATCACTTAAGTGAACAACATGTCATTTAAATAAAAAGAGCGATTTGGATATCATAATAATAAGTCATGCCAATGACAAAGGAAGAGGAAAAAGAAAAAGAAAAAAAGAGAACTCAGGTACGTTGCTTGTTCATGCAATGGCCTAGTAAGGCACTTTAATTTTCTGTTTTTTGGAATACAACAAAAAGTTTAAACTATGAGGGAGAATGAGGTGTCATGGTGGTTCAAATCAGAGACCACTGATTTTCAAGTCAAGGCCCTTCTCTACTAGATTGGACCCCGTTGGCCTTCACCCTTTTCTTAACTAGCTTAAGTGGTTAAGAGCATTTACTCATACACCTGAGGTCTTAGGTTTGACTTCCCCTCTCACAATATCTCATGTATAGAAAAAACAAAATATCTTTAGAAACATCAAAATTCATACATTAAATAATAAAGTTATAGTTATAAGATTAGTGAATTATTATTATTATTATTATTATTATATAGTTATCATCCATGAACTTTGAATTTAGGACCAAATAATCATCAGAATAGGATATGCAAGCGCTCTTTTATATTTTCATTATTGTTTTAAGGTTTTTTCTTCTTTGGTCGAAAAACATTATTGTTTTAAAGTATACAACTCATTTGGAACTCAACAGTGGAAAACTAATTTATCCCAAATGAGAGAAAAAGTTATAGTGGTTAAGAAAATTAATTATGAAGGTCAAAACATTTGAGTCAAAAAATTATAAGTCATTTCAAATAAGTAATTATGCAACCATAATCCTATCTTGCATGTTACATAATACATCATTGCAAGTTCCCAAAACGCAAGCAATTAGTCGTTTGAATGATAAATCATTCCAACCATCATATGCGATGCCTATATTAGCTATTTTGCATTTTCTTTAATGATCTCTTCGGTCATGAATCACAAACTTGTATTAACATAATGGGGTTATAAGTTAATCATGTTTTCAGAGTTTAACAAACGGATGAAGTACAAAAAACACATTATTCTTAAATTATAGAGGAAAGTAATTAATCTGCAGATTGCTAGTATTATGTCAATTTAAAAGGCCCACCAAGAATTATTTCTAACTTACGGGGGGAAAAAATACCACAAAGGTCGTCAAAGTTTTTTTTTTTGGGTCAAACAAAGGTCATCAAAGATTACCATATATGCCTAATTGCAGAGATGATAACAAGGTAATCAAAGATTACCATGTCTAATTGCAGAGATGATAACAATATGATACGGTGGTTTGGAAATGGAGAAATTGGGTGGTAGATGTGGGGTTGGTTGAGGCATAAAAGAAAGTTAATTGCAAAAGGGAGATTAGAAAGGTGAGAAGCTTTTTCTCTGCAAAAAGTCAAATAGGGCCTCTTTCACAAATCATAATGATATCTTCACCGCCGATGCAGAGGGGGTAGATTTGCACCCAAGATTCATCATCATTGCCCTCTAAATATTTTCTTTTTGGTGTCCCAAAAGAAACCCTAGAAATTTTTTTCCAAAAGAAACCTAGAAATTGATAGATACATGAATTATAATGACCTTCTCAGTAAGCTTTTTCTTTTTGAAAGCTTTTGCAGTGAATGATATAATTATTTTCACTTGTATGCACACTTATATTTCAGATCTTTGTTCTATTATTGTGTACTCATCTATGTTAACTTTTATTCAGTCCCCCCTCTCTCCCTCCCTCCATCCCCCAACCCAATGTAACCATCCACGGCAACAGAGGTTGGACAAACTTTTCATGCAACCTTATCATAAACACAACTTTTTTTTTTACAAGCGATATTTTATTTTAATCTAATTTACACTACAGAGAGGGGGATTCAAGCGATATTTTTTTATAATTAAGCATGCAAATAAACCAGCTATATTTCACATTTACTTGTCCTCTATTGTTGACCTTCACACTAAAAAAACAGTGAAGTTCCACTAACAAGTACTTCTTGTGAGACATGTACATATATCCCATACTTTTGAGGTCAAATAGCAACATGGTTTTCGCCACTCCACATGTTACTCCAAAATCCAAACCACCAGCTTCAGTTGAAAATGTTAAAAGTCTTTGTCTTAGTATTATAATATCATTTTTTTCCCTCTTTAACAGTTTTATGAATAAGTATTTGTCTCCTTTATTTTTTTATATTCTGAATTTTTCATCCTTAAATTTGAAAGGGTGTTTTAGACACACATAAAAAGAAGGGTAGAGAGAGAGGAAAGGCAACAAGGGAAAGTGGTAGTCATGTTAAATTTATAGGTATTTGGTTACTTTCAAATCTTGGTATATAATTCCCTTTTTCTATCTATATATCCTTGAAGTTTGAGAGAGAACCCTCTTGGTGTGCTTTTAATCTAGACTCTGCTAATACTCGTTCCTAGATAGATTTCCTTGGATTATTCTCTCATCAGTTTTCTACACCCTTCAAGAAGAGAGAGAGAGAGAGAGAGAGAGAGAGAGAGAGATGGCATCTACGACGTCCCAGGCCATGCTCAACCAGCAGCAGGGCTTGTTTGAGAATGAAGAGGGTTCTAATGCACAGATGGGTTTCTTTTCAATCCCACCAAACTTGAACTTTTCTTCACTGGGATCTCTCAAAGCCTTCGGTTCTTCTAGCATACCTCCAAGCACCAATCTCTCTGAAACCCTACTACCATCACTCACTCCTCTAAAGCATAGAGAAGATCATAACATCACTACTAGTTCTGATTTTGGAGGATCCCAACTCCTTTCTTTGCAAAGATCTACTGCAAATCTCTGGTAAAATAATATAATTAATATCACACCTAATTTCCACATCTAGTGATTATATATGTAGTCTTGAATCTTGATCTCCTTTTTGAATTAAATTCTCTTGCATGCAATACAATTACTCATGTAAAACTAAGAATATTAAAAGTATAAACATGTTTTGGTACATATGGTCTAGGGCATGGGGAGAGGTGAGCGATGATCATGAGTGCCTAAGCAGCAAGAGATCAAACGGTGGAGATGATCGCCATCATCACCATATGGGAGTTTCAGCAATGAAGATGAAGAAGATGAAGGCAATTAGGAGGAAGGTGAGGGAGCCTAGGTTTTGCTTCAAAACCATGAGTGAGGTTGATGTGCTTGATGATGGATACAAGTGGAGGAAGTACGGACAGAAAGTGGTAAAGAACACACAGCATCCCAGGTATACTAATTAGACAATTCACATTTTCTACACTCGTCTCTCCTTTTCTTTTCTCTTTTTCTTCAATTCTTTTGCTTTAATCACATCTTCAGCAAAAGTTTATTGCATGTCAAATTGGATTTTAGCTTCTAGTTGTACCCCATACACATGATGTGTTCCTCACTCTCTCTCTCTCTCTCTCTCTCTCTCTCTCTCTCTCTCTCTCTCTCTCTCTCTCTCTCTCTCTCTCTCTCTCTCTCTCTCTCTCTTTATTGTCATTGTTATCATTATTATCATTAGGCTTTTACAGGCTTGGCGCTGGAGATTTGACGGGTAGATGGGTCTGAATAATTTACAATATTGATAAGTACAGTAATAATATTTCCGACCAAAAAGAAAAAAGAAGATGGTTAACTATTAATGCACTTGTAATATTTTAGACCCTTTTGCAAATGCCATTTCCAAAAAGAACTAATTATTAGTACTTTTGGAGATAAAATTCATAATATAAAGATCACCAAACATCAACATACTGTGCAAAGATTGATCAATTATAATGCTTTATAAAAGGAAACAAAAAATTTCTTAATCCCATAGATGCCGAAGCGAAATTATTACGGGGCGGATGATATTGCCGAAAATGAGTACTCTAAAATCACTTTTTCTTGGAATATTGAATTAATGTACGTCCCTAAGATTGGATTCCATGAAAAAGAAGAAGAAAGCTGCCAGTACTAGGACAAGAATCATCATCAGAATAGGAGAAGTACTGTACATGTGGTGCAGCTTCAATCCATTTCATTGGCCATGTTTAATCATAAGAATTAGGGTAATTTGATTATAATTATTGGTTGTAAAACTAGGTTATACCAAAATTAGGAAAGCATGGGCACATTATTACTTGCATGGTTTTGAAAGGGGTGCATCATGCATGGGTTGGGTATTTATTGCTACTATTTCTACAAGTTACCTTCATGTTTATATGTCAGATAGAGGAATTTTCAAATGCACACCAACAACTTATTACAGCACAAATCACTAGTTTGGGTGCCACCCACAATGTGTTTTCACCACTAAATGTTCATTTTTAGGTCTTTCCTTCCTCCAAGGAAGGTCAACATCCCCTACAAAAATTTATCAAATAATCGACTAGCTATTTGATCATTCCCATCATAAGTTTTATTGAATTCACTTCGATTATAAGATAGTTCGGATCATGAAATTGCGTTGTGGATGTTGGCGTACGATGGTGGTTTGTGACCTTTTAAGTTACATATAGTGTGCATTGTCAACCAAGTACTATTGATTAATTACGTGTAATCTTACTTAACATGTTTGGAGCTTGCCGTATGTATATATCTATCCGGGTGCAAGTCACCTTAGGAGTTGAAATTAAGACTAGCAAAATTCCACAGAAATGATTTGAACTTTGAATGTGTGCGTATATATATCCTGCATAATCATATGCCTCATTTGTTGAATTTACTGGTGTCATGTGTTTTCCAAATAGGTAATAATTATGGTGTTCAAAGCTATATACAAAATAGTCAAAAGTTGGACTTATAATTAGAGTAGAATATCTTGCATGAAATGGAAATCCTCCCCCACCCCACCCCAACCTGAACTTGACTAGGATTTAATTTAACTTCTTCTGAGCTTATAAACCTTTTTAGAGCTGGGTTTGTTATTTTATGTGGAGCATGTGTACTGATCAAGACATGTGAATGAATTGTCTCCTCTCCTCTCATACAAATATCTGATATACAGTTTAATTATATAAGCTTTGAGCATTCAACCTTCAATATTTAAATATGATATAATGAGTGAAGACTTCTGAGCTTATAAACCTTTTTAGAGCTGGGTTTGTTATTTTATGTGGAGCATGTGTACTGATCAAGACATGTGAATGAATTGTCTCCTCTCCTCTCATACAAATATCTGATATACAGTTGAGTTATATAAGCTTTGAGCATTCAACCTACAATATTGAAATATGATATAATGAGTGAAGAGACCAAAGTTTTATACACTAATTAGCAATATGCAAGAAGGAAAATACTTCCTTCCTTACCACGTAAGTAAGAGCTCCTATATTTCTGTCATTAGTCGTGTGCATGTGCGCAGAAGTTTTTCTTTTTGTATTTTTCATTTGCATATATGTCAAACTATAATGCGCAAGAAGGAATATCTCATTACCGGTAAGGAGACAAGTAATATGCATGATCCTTGACTTAGATCGTTGGATGATATTTGATTTATTAATGGTTATATATGTCATGTAGTCCCTGTCGATTGTTTCGGCAATATAAGACACTTATATTCATACTGTCATCATTAATTAGGTTACTTAAATTCATAGTCTGACAATATAAATATGAGTTTGGCAAAAAAAAAAAAAAAACAATTACCTGTATATGTATTATAAAATATCGGAAAGCCAGACATGCTGTACCAGAAAAAACCAAGAGTTGGATGGTTGGTCAACAAATTGCATCATAAGAAAACATGTGCAGTTTTCAGGTGCATTTCCTTCCTTACCACGTAAGTAAGAGTTCCTATATTTCTGTCAACAGCAGTGTGCATGTGTGCATAAGTTTTTCTTTTTGTGTTTTTCAAGAATTATTTTTGCATATGTGTCAAATTGTAATTCGCAAGAAGGAGGAGTATCTCATTACCGATAAGGAGACAAGTAATATGCATACAAGAATTGGAATTCTTTAGATGCATGATCCTTGACTTAGATCATTGGATGATATTTGATTTATTAATGGTTATATATGTCATGTAGTCCCTGTCGATTGTTTCGGCAATATAAGACGCTTATATTCATACTGTCATCATTAATTAGGTTATTTAAATTCATAGTCTGACAATATAAATATGAGTTTGGCAAAACAAAAAAAAAACATTTACCTGTATATGTATTATAAAATATCGGAAAGCCAGACATGCTGTACCAGAAAAAACCAAGAGTTGGATGGTTGGTCAACAAATTGCATCATAAGAAAACATGTGCAGTTTTCAGGTGAGTGCTTATTGTGTTTAATTAAAGGGAAAATGTTTTTGTTTGGCTAAAGTAATCAGAAATAGTATTTTGGCTTGGAATTTGAGGGTTAAATGTAGGTCCCACAACTAGTCCTCTTATGATTTCATTTTCCTAAAAGGCAACTAAGCTCTCATCAAAGTTTTGAGACCTAAGATTCTACCTAGCTAAGGCTCCGTCGAGGATCTTTCTGAGATCTTTCTGTTCACAATGCTTTTCTGAAGTGATGCGATGAGATATTTGTGTGCTTGCATTTGCTTAGTTCTATATGACCATGTTTTATTTAGTTGGGTTTATCAACATCAAGCTGCTTCAAAGTTTCTTGAATTACTTTTTGGTGCATGCATGCATATATGTACATGCAAATGCAGGAGCTATTATCGTTGCACGATGGACAACTGCCGGGTAAAGAAAAGAGTGGAGCGATTAGCCGAGGACCCGAGGATGGTGATCACAACCTACGAAGGGCGGCACGTGCATTCTCCATCGCACGATCTTGATCAAGATTCACAGCAAGCTTCATCTCACCTAAATAACTTCTTCTGGTAGACCATTCTGTATATTATAATTCTGTATCATTTAGCTGCACTGTGGTTGTGTATGCATGTCTTTGGCAGTGTTTGGATGGATATATAGGATAATAAGCATGATGCATGGGCTTGATTGCCCGTTTTTGTTGATCAGCCTAGCCTCCTGCTTTCGCTAATATATAAAATGCCTAATGAATAAAGCAATTATTTCAACAATTTTTGTTACCAACTTTTGCACAGCTTTCACTTTTTCGATTGTAGTTTTCTAAATCAATCATGGATTTTGATTTCTGCTCTCCTTTTCTACCTAAATAGAGGGACATGATGGTTATGATAGGGCTGATTTTTGTTTTTCTTCTCCCTGAAGTGGTCCATGGGCTTGGAATGAATAGCTTAGTGCCCCTAATATTATGTCCCCTGCCCAGCCTATATTGAACAAGTGTGTTAGGCCTGAAGAGCCAATCCTGCGCAACCTGCTTGCGTCTTGATTGAACTTGGGCCTTGAACCTTACAATGTTAAAAGAATGATTTATTTGAAAACATCGCTCTAAATTTTTTATTTTGGGTTCATTTCAATTTAGTATCATGAATTCTCACTTTTATGCCCCGTTTGGTTCACGGAAAAAATTTGAATTCCTTTCTCATGTTTGGTAATCCTGGAAAAGCAACCAGGAAATACCACTTTATTTCTTTTCACATGTTTGGTTTGTGTAGGAATGTAAAACAAAGTTTGTTTAATTTATGCATTTAATACTATATTGTAATTCTAAATTGTTAATTGGGACAAAATGGTCATGAAAAATGTGTATTTAATGTTGGCTCATTTTCCAAACTTTCTTATGAGGAGGAAAACAAAACCCAAGAGGGTAGGAGGGCTTCACTTTCCTCTTACTTTCCCATGTGCCAAACAACCATTTTCCATGCCTGAATTTACCAAACATTGATTTTTCATCCCCAAGCCTCATTTCCCATGAACCAAACGGGGCCTTAAGGCAGGTTTGCCAATGCACTCTCAATTTTAACAGTCCTACCATTTTTAATTTTTTGCAATTTGGTTCTATCTTAAACTTCACTATCAAAATGTTCGTTAATTGCCTACGTGGCGGCCCTAGGTCAGATGAAGGGTATTTTTCAGGCAATTGGTGTCTTCCCACCCAAACTTGAAGAAAATGTGTCATAGTTTTTTAACAGTAGTACTTGCAAAAGACACCATTTGCTCAAAAGACGGAATTTTTCAACTGACTTTTGCAACTGAATTTTTCAGGCCCTGGGTCGACCAATCTGAACCATCATGGCTAGTTTGGTTTGGTTTGGTTTTAACCAAGACAAAAGTCAAATGTTTTAAAATCCAACATGACCTTTATGGTTTGGTTCGGATACGATTTTTGAGTTTTTGCAAATCGGCATAAATCTAACCAACGGCCCCCTTGTATATTTATTTTATTTTGCATACACAGTTCTCTTAACGGATAATAAATAGGTAAGGATATTAAATTTGAAGTTAACGTTCTTTGAAGCTATTGATCTTTGTATTGTAACTATATTAGTTATTGAAGTTTAAAGTTTGATGACATGTTGAATTTAAGGATGTTTTGATTTGCTAGATAATAATACATTCGTAGCAAGTTATATCTTTTTTTGTTTTACTTAGCTAACAAAGTCGAAAAAATGCAATAGAAAAAAGATTTTACTTACGCCCAACTGTTCAAAAATTGGTTTGGTTTATTTCAGTTTCCTCAATGATTTTTGTCAAAACCAAACTAAATCATACCATTTTATTATAATTAGTTAGACCGGGGCTGTAAGGTAAAATTGATCCAATTCGGATCGTACCCACCCTAATCAATAGCCAACTGTCTCTTGCCCCTCTGAACATTGGACTTTCATCGATGGTACAAATAGAACCCACTGATTAAAAACTAGATTGATTCAGACTTCATTTTCCTAACAAGCCACTGTAACCAAACCTTCACTTATTGTTAAGTCCAGGGCTGAGAACAGCAATGGGTGCAGTAGATTGCAATCATGAAGAGGAGCCTTCCTATGGTATTATCTTGCAGAAACCATGATGCAATTATATTCCACCGTACCTTCATGTTTGTATGCCTGCCAAATATCACTGATTCTATTCAGATTGGATTGCATTATTACACCTTTACAGTTTCCATTTTCTCTCAAAAGTGGTCAATCCAATGGCCATTCTGTACAAATTTGGAGCCCATCATGTTTCCGAATTGGACTTTTCCTTGATGGTGCATGAGACAAACTTATACGAGTGTGCCAAAACACAAAAGAGCTCAAATGAGAAATTGCGAATGCATTTGCTCTAGGGTGAATTTACCAACCTAACATGGCCCACCCAATTTTTACTAGCCAGAATAAATGTACGAAATGTTGTCTACGATTGTCACATGATATTTATCATCTTATTCCAGAAGAAAATACCATAATTTTTTATTTGGTTAAAAAAAAAAAACCATCTTTTACTTATATATGTTTTCTAGTGTTTATACTCTATATATAGGCAAAATGATGGTTGGTTTAGGGTTAGGTTTAAGATTTATTACAAAGACATTTAAACGAAAGTCTGAATTCGACTAATTTTGACTATGAACACGATATTTGGAAGAAAATAGAAATAAAGAATATAATTTCATAAGATTTGAACTTAGGACTTTCTCGATGATCAGTAGATGTCATTAAACCAAATGGTTAATCACTACTACAAAAAGGGCAAAAGACGACCAGAAAAAGACGACGGTAGAACAAAAAACCGTCGTTGTTTTTAAAAAGACGACGGTAACAAAAAACCGTCGTGGATAAGTGACTTAAACAACTAAAAAATGGAGATACTGTTGAGAATTAGATGTCATTAAACCAAATGGTTAATGACCTAATCACATTAAACTCCTAATCTAAACAATGATATTCTTTTGTTTTTTTTAAACAAGAGCGATTGTCTAAATTATAAGAGGAGGGGGTTTTTCACACACACATCAAGGTCCTACGGGGATTTGAATCTAAGACCACTGATATGCAAGTGAAGACCTTTTTTCACTGGACTAGACCCGTTGGCTAAACAATAATATCCTAATGTAGCTATTAGTTGTAAATTGGTATTACTAAAACTTGAAACCATCTCAATGTTTCCCTTTTTCAAATTTTGTTCTCAAAGTCATGGGTTTTTGTTGTTTTTGAATAGGAATAATTGGGAATGCATGCATGCATGGGTTGTCATGCTGCTTTGTTTTTAGTTTTATAAAAACACACCCGAGGGCCGAGGGTCACATACATTCAAGTGGCACAAAGAAAATAGAAAAATATTTGTTTTGCCAACTCGATACACTTGGAATTGGACAGATCGTAGGAGTTAACTATTAGCATTTGACCCAATAAATTATAGATGCTGGCATTATGTGCCATATGCAGCTGGCAAAAGAAAATAATTATTTAAAAAAATTCAGTCCACGAGCACAAAGGAATTAATAATTTCTTGTATTTCTTGTTTGTGGTATTAAAAAATATTGGTGTTATAGTAGTAATCAAGAATGAAGACCCTTTTTAAATGTATATGAAACTTTCGAAGTGCACAATGTTTACAAATAAAAATAAAATAAACTGATGAAAGCATCTTATTCTTAGAATTGTGTCTACGTACGTACATGAATATATAATGGTACGATGTACGTTTGTGTTTGTATGGTTGTAAAGTGTGTGTGTCTATATTTATCACTAAAAGAAGAGAGTTTTGCTAATTAATTATAAGCCATCCTTTTTTTTTAGAATCTTTATTATTGAGAGGGGCGATAACACATTAAACTCACATACAGAGCACGGATGCTAGGACTCGAACTCAAGACCTTACCTGGAAGAGCAATTATTTGAAACCACTACCTAAACTTACGCGTACACTGTCTTTCCTAAATATTAACATAGTACGAGAGAGGACTAACTAACTTTGTCGTAACTATTCGATCATCAGTGTTTGTAATAATGGATTGATGGTCCATTACTCTGAAATATGAACAAAATGATAGTTAATAAGTTCTCTTTGCAATACAAAAGGAAGAAAGAAAAAAAATTGTTAGTTAACATAAGAAAGATATTTAAGAATTATCCTAATGCATATTCATATTGTAAACTAATTAAAAAGATAAAAGGATCGAGTAGCTCATGGACGCTTGAGGTGAATCTTATACGTTTTCTTTCCGTGCTTCTAAGACTACTATTTTTAGGGGAATTACATGTGATGTATTTTTTTTTGGCTAAATTTTTGTAAAAATGATCTTTGACTAATGACATAAAAAATAAACGAATCGAATTATGAGATGATATCATGAGGAGCTTAAACGATTGCGTAGCCTCATATTTTTTTATTAACGAGTTAGCGTTTGAGGTTTCGCTACATATTTTTCAAAGTAGAGTTTATAATTTTCTACAAGAATAACAAGACAAAAATATTCGCCTATGTCTTCCCAATTGCCCACGTTCATCCATTCTCATTTGTTTAGGTCAGAAAGAAAACCCATTCATTCTTAATTGCACATCCTACTCTCCCGTGACAATTCATTCTTAATTGCTCATTAAAAAAAAACAATTAAATTTAGCAAAAGGAAGACACACATGAACATCTTCATAAAAAAGACACACATAAACATGAGCACGTGAGGCCTGCTAACTTGTACGTTAATCTTACTTATCTCTCACTAATCGTGCATTTTTCAGTCACATACTTCCAAAACAAAAACATGAATTTGGTTCGTGGTTGTAATAATTTAATTAAGAAAATGCGTTAAAAGGAGGGCCTACCTCGTAAATCTGCTAAGGGCACGGCCCGGTTGAAGTTGAATGTATTGATTGCATGCCCCGCGGGTCACCGGAGACCCGCACGTTCAAACCCTGATTTCGAGGTCTTGCCCACTCTTAAATCTCGTTTGCTTCGAATAAAGAATTTAAAGGAAATCATTTATGAGGGATAGAAAATGAAAGAATCATTTGTGAATTATAATATTTAGTAATGTTGGGAAAGTAACCAAGAAATACCATTTTATTTCTTTATCGATATTTGATTTGTGTAGAAATGTAAAATGAACTTTGTTTAATTTTTCAATTATACCCATGTGTAGGGGTCTTTTTCTTCCGGTGGCAGGTGGGCTTAGCTGATGAAATTGTCCCCTTTATCTGAGTTCGAAAATTAAGCCCCAAA